ACGAGTAATGAGCAGGTAATAAATTAGATTTTACTATTTTATAACATTATATCTTTTCTATTCCTAGCATTTCTTCTATTTCTTTAAGGTCTTCCATTTCTTCTACTCTTTTCATTTTTTCCGATTTACATCTCTTTCATCTGAGTTAATTCTTACACCTTACTAGATTATTGTTACCACAGTCGTCGTACAGACGAGGTCCAGTTGTGGTAAAGGTAAGAAATGTATACGACTTAATGGACCGAAACATTTCTTGCCTACTTTAATAATTCTTTACAATCCTTTCATCTCTTTTTGTTCATATTTTCCTCCCTAACCTTAAATATAGAAGCGGCGAAGAAATTAACCTTACGATGAGCGAAGCAATCTGTTTGAACGCCGAGACGCCCTTATCGGTTCGGCCACTTCGATTCCAGCCACAATTCTCCCAATTTTCAATAAGTCTCGTCTTGATAAGCGCTTTCTTCAGTTCTTCTTCGACCTCAAAAATCTACCGACTCAGGAAAAAGCACAATGCCAAACCGATAGTGATGGGATCCCCATTGTACGGGCAGAACAGGCATGCGCTTAGATTGTTCTGATTGATAATTTTCAGCTAAATAAGTTGCAGCTTCCAGGTCGACCCTGGAAGGGCAGACGATGGGGTGCGCAAAAGCAAGAAAAGGTAGTGAAGGTTGGGGGTAAGAGTGGGCTAAGACGTTTCGGTCCATTGAGTCATATACGTTTTAACATGGTATTATCTGGTGAACCACCGACGAAAAAACGAGAACAAAGACTTATCTGTGAGTTTTACTTTTCCACCTACTGTATTTCAACATTAACCTCTAACATCTTATACCTTTTACAGTCTTCCTTTATAACTCACCCTCATTCCCATTCCTTCCTCTTCCTCAGACAGTCGTTTAAACACGGCGAAATGGGGCGCTGTACTGATGATTCCCATCCCGTTTCGCACAGATTCCGCAGCTTCTGATTACAGCTCAGGGATGAGACACAATCAGACTACCAAGTCGGCAAGTTACATTGAGGCTTGCTTATTTGGGAGATCTAAATGGCACTAGTTCCAGTGTTTTCATTAATTATCGAAATTCGATTGTGTTCCTCTCCATGCTGCTGGGCCAGAAACGCCAAACAAACTGCATATGTTAACACATAGATGCGATTTCAGGCCCCCGTTCTCTACCAATCTCCTAGCCAAGGATATTCTCATTGTTTGTATCTTTAAAATTCCTACAAAACACTGTGAACTGTGGGGCAAATACAACTTGCTGCCTGATTACTGAGTAAATAACTGGCCAACGCACAGGCTGCCCGTGCGAAGATGCGTTTTTTGCATATTTCCCCGCAGATTTTTGTCGCTAACGGCACTGGTTTTCCCGGCAGATGCTTCTAGCTTAAAGAATTTCAGACTGGCCGCCAGAACTGTCAGGAAAGATCCCTTCAAAATTCCAATCTTCTAGCTTTTCATGTTCTTGAGTTAGCAAATTAACCGGAAGAAATTTTCACGGGCCTGTACGTAGGTACCACACTTACTCGCAGGCAGGGTTTGAACTCGTTAATACTCACTTGGACAGGGAACATCCCCTAAGTTTTCAACGTTCTAGCTTCTCAGACCCCCGAGTTATGAACTTATCTCAAAAAAACATTGGCAAGGCTCGTACGCGAGTACCATGCGGGTAATAGCGCCCGTTTTGGGGATTGGGGCCGGCACGTGCATGTAGATTAAATGCGTTTTTGCATTGCATAGCTGCAAAAAACGGCTAATGACACAGGTCAAGTGCTTTGAGTTTCTATCCCTCAGTATAAATAGTGGCCTAACTGTTGAGGAATGCTGGTAACCGCACGCACAATAACTCAGTGAGGGAAAAAACAGGCATTCTAAATACGGATTTCATTCGAAGGGGAAAAAATTTTACCCAAAGACGACGAAATCAGGAAATTCGTGGCATCGCTACGTGCTTAATAAAAAACCAATCCTCCTCTATCTTCACACATGTCGTTTTCTCATCTTTCCTCCTCACTGCTCCAGTTTAATACCATTTGACACATGCTCATCATACACATGGTGGATAGGAGGCTGTATTGTTGATTCCCACTCCTATCCGGATTACACGGCAAGTAGGAGGCTGTACTGTTGATTCTCATTCCTGTGCGGATTCTGCGTTCGGTTAGTGTTTACAGCTAAGGGATGAAACACAGACTACATCCTAGGATGTCCTCGCCTGTACATGATAGACCGATCCCTCATACCTCTTACCCTATTATTTCACTACTGATAAACGGCCTATGAAGCCAGAAATCACAGCTGATCAAAATAGCTTCGATTTCCTGTTGTTGCTTATATCGATGGCAGAACAACAGGATCTTTAGAATCAATGACTGGTGATATCCGGAGGGTTTGACCAGTGGCCAGTGATGTCGAGAATGGAAGGGAAGACCACGAAAACAAGAAGTGAAAGAGATAGTGAAAAGCATATGTTGTAAAAAAAATGTTCAGGAGATGTAATGAGGACCTGTAGGAAGGCTAAATATGTAAACTTGGCTGTCTGTGTTTCATCCCTAAGCTGCAAAAACAGACAGTATGAGGTGTGGAATGGGGTGGGAAGTTGCTGAGATGCATACGGATCGACAGGCCGAATTCACTTACTGTGTGCGGGCAATTACGCTGTTGCACCAGTCCGTCGTATTCCCAGCCAAAGTAGAGGAACATCAGTGCGATGCGGTGTTTTGGATAGCGCGAGAAGTCGAACTCACGGTGCTTCCTCTTCCTCTTCGTCGCCGTTCT